GACGACGAGACGAAGAGATCGCCGTCGAGATTGCCGCCGGACTCCGCCGCACGCGCCACCGGAAGGTTGCAGTAGCTGGGACTTACTCGCGCGCGTGAGAGCGCGTGGATCCTCCATTTTCCGACCGGTCAACGCCGTTGACTTCGCCGTGACGTCAGCTTTCTGGATTGGTCAAGTTTGTTCGATTCCGAGAAGATTTGATTTGCGGTCATCTGTTCGGGCCAGCCAGATCTACATAAATTTTAAGCAATAAGTTTTCTTCATCAAACCTTTAGATCCGCTGCGCATAGGTATATGTTGAATGTTTGTCTGTGATTTTTGCATATCGAGATCCTCATGGGTTCCAACACCCGTTCGATTTATAGAAATTCTCGAAATATTCTATTTATCTAATATTGTTTATGAGATTATATTTATTTTATTAGTCGCGATGTCGGCTTAAATAAAATGTTGGAGTACTTGATCATTTTATTTTAAAACGTTCGTCGTTCGACGATTTCGGTTTAATTGCGTAAACCGAATTTAATCCGTTGGAATTGTGAATTTTTCCGGATTATTGACTTATCGTGATTATTTTATTTTGTATAGTTCGGTAATTGATCGAAACTTTTCATTTAAACTTTTAATCTCTCATTTAGACTTAACGACATAATTCTCTCGTTTGGGAGCTGCCGATTTGGGCGATTATCCCGTTTCAGACCGTTTCATCTTTGTCATTTGCTGTGTTGAATTTCTGTGATTCCTTCTTATTTTGTGTGATTCATTGGAGATCGTTGTGAAATTGGGGACATTTGCAGTTGTATAGTCATGGGCGAACCTCAAGATAAGGGTAACGAGGAAAACCTAGCTAACCACCTCAAAGGATTTTCCTTGTCGACTGCAGAGGCTTTAGTCACATACATTGAGCATGACGATATCCGAAGAAGTTCAGAAGAATGCCGGCGTAGTCTGTTCGGGAAGGTGGTGGGTGACCGTCGTGCTAGCTGGATTGGTATAAAACGCACTATGAACAATATATGGAAGCTGCAGAAACCAATGGAAATCAAGGAGCTGGAGCCTAATTATTTCCAGTTCATCTTCCACAATAGGGAAGACATGAAAAAAGTTGCAAGCGGCACCAACTGGATCTACGATAACCAATACTTGATTCTCAGAGAATGGGAGCAAGGGTTAAATAGTCTTCACAAGAGATTCAATGAGCTGCTGCTCTGGGCTCAGGTAACCAACCTTCCCCTTGACTAGCTTAGCTCTGAAGTTGGTCTTAAAATAGGGAAGACATTCCCAGAGGTTAAGAATGTTATAGTTCAAAACATAAGCCCTCATGGAGGTAAGATTTTAAAGCTTCTGGTTACTATCAACCTCTGTGAACCACTACCAAGATGCACAAACATTAGGCTGGGGGATCAAACTGCAACAGTGGGGTTCCAATATGAGAGGCTTGTGAATCTTTGCTACTACTGTGGAGTCATTGGGCATCTGGATAAAAGCTGCAAGAAAAGGCTTGATGACTTCAAAAACCAAGTTCTGAAAGAGGGGCAATACGGAGAATGGCTCAAGACCAAAGACATCATACCTGGGACATATGCAAGCCCTTCAAGTTCCAAACAATCTCCTTTTACTAGCCAAGCCCCTGCAACAGTGTAATATCCCGTTAATTTCAGTATAATTATATTTTTAGTTCCGATATTAATTTTAAAAAATTAATTATTTTCAGTCTTTTCAGTCGAAATTACTGAAAATTATTTTCGACGTACCGTTTACGTTCGGAATAATTTTGGTAATTAAGCATTATGTTTTATTTAATAATTAAACATAATTGAAGGATTAAGTATTAATTAATCCAAGATTAGTATTAAATGTCGTACGGAATTAGTATTCCACTATGTCAAAAACCGTATGCATCAAGTCAGAAATGAGATTGGTATTAAGTGTTCGGATTTTTAAAATTTTCCTCCAAATTGCCGTATTATTTTTAGTGAAAAAAAAGATGTGCTTTATCTCAATTTTCTTCACTTTTAAGTGAGGTTGGCGTGGCATGATTTGAAGTAGTAGAAGGATTAGACATTAGTTTAAGAGGGCTAAACATCTCCAAGTGTCCTTAGCAATATTAGCCACATCATTAGTCCCTAATGCACCTCTTCGGCCCTTTAGTATAAAAGGAAGAAGTTGGATGAAAATTTCTCATCTTTCTTTATATAGTTAAAGTTAGCATACATTCTTCACCTTCAACCTTTATAAGTTTACTCCCGAGTGAGAGAGAGTAGTTTGGAAAGGGTACTACCGCAAGCACCGTAAATTATCGCCGAGCTATCGCACATCGCACGGTTAATCGCACGCAAGTAGCAATCGTCGCACTCGTAGCAGTAGTTCTTCAAGGCAGTCAGCACATCGCTCAGTGGTCAGGCGTACGCAAGCATCTACGAGTGTTATAGAAGTCCGTCGCACGTACCGCAAGCCATCGCACGCTACGTCGCAAGTTACCGCACAGCGTCGCACACACGCGGAGGGTCACGGCCGAGTACGGGAATTCGAAAAGATTAGTTACTCAGGCTTAATCAGAGGTAATTCCCGACGGTTGTTGACCGAGATTATCATGTTTATTAAGTTCAAATTTTAGTTAGACGTGCATGCGTGTTATGTCTGGTAAAAGCCGTAGCCGTGCCGATCATGTTATGTTCTAAGTTAAATCCTCCGAACTATCCTCGCATATTTAGCCTTTATATGCAAAATCATGTTTAGTTTAACTAAAGTGTTCGGATGATTAGGCATGTTTGCGGTGTTGCTGCCAAAGGTGACGTGGTTGCGCACGTAGCGCACCACGGGCCGTACTTGCTTGCTCAATATGTTAAGTTCCTTGTTCTCGAGCATTTTTATGAGATTTATTCAGTAGATTATTAATCACATTCAGTTAAGTTGTAATTGCCGAGAATATTTGAGATTCGGTCGTAAAACGACACAACACCGTCGGCGGCGCACGGTGCGTCCGCCGCGGCCAAAGTTTAGTCCTTGTGTAAACCTTCATGTTTTCAGTAATAAATCAGTTTATATGTCATGACATGTTATTTGAGGTCAGTTTGTTCGGAAGTTGTTGCCGGACGGCCGACAAGGGCCGGCCATGGC